AATACGCGCTTGGAAGATGGAAATAAAACAAAACAAAAAAACTTGAAAAAAAATTTTTGAAAAATCTTCAATGAACCCATGAGCATATTTGTGAATTTCTTCAAAAATTAAATGTCTGTTTTTATTCTGGAAAATGCCTATTCATAACGAGAAACTCCCGAAAAACATGTTTAGATTGCGTAAATTTTATCCAGAGCCAGTTATGGCTTAAAATAAAACAAAAAAATTTTTTCAAAATTTTTGGGATCGGGAGAATCGAACCTACAACCTTCCTCCTCTGAACTTGCCATTTTACCACTTTACTACACTGCTGATTGAAATCTATTGTTTTAAAAGAAATACACTATTCCGTGAAAAAAAATTCACGAGAAATTGCTGAATCATAGGGAAACTTTTCTAGGTCATAACTCAGCTCACGTGAGCATTTTTCTGATTTTTTTAACAGATTTGGAATCCTCATAAGCTCTTCTATCTGCTCCCAAAATTACAAAAAAAGTTAAAACTGCTCCCTCAAGTAACTCCCTTGTTAGACATTTGTATAATCAATTTGTTGTTTTTTCAATGATTTTTTAATGCAAAATTGAATTATTCGGTTAAATAACATCGATATATTGGTAAACATGCTGAAAATTCAGACATTATAATGATGCAGGAACAGTAAAATTTGAGATTTTGAAAAACAAAATATCACGGTTTTGAGTTGTCACTGAAAATATAACTAATTCTACTTCCCATTCACAATAACAAGCTTGAAAAATTTTTTAAAAAGACAGATTCTCAGTAAAACCTTACGCTTTTCTAGAATTCTTCATTATTTTTTCTGTCTAGGCTTCTTCGATTTCTGAGAGCTATGGCAAAAAAATGTTCACTGATCGTTTGGGAGATTTTGACGATTATTTTGTTAGTTACCCATTTTTTCATATCTTTCACAGGAACCTAGAAAAATTAGTTCCAAATTGACAATCAGGGTGTAACTCAAAAAAAATATTCTAGGTAACGATCAAACTAATGGAACCATGCATTCCGTTGTTGAAATGTCCAGAATAAAACAGTATTTTTATGAACAATACCATGCGATACAACACGAATGAGTAATCATAAAATTCTTCAGTAAGTTAGATGAAAATATGTAACGGTGAAGAATTTAAATGTTTCCACAAGCTTTTCAGGAAAAAGGTTCACTAAAATTAATCCTGAATTAACGGAAATTTCAAAATAACTTTTAAGAAGAATGGATGTTTTGCCGACAGAATTGAAAAGCTGATTTTGATTCAATGTAACGGATTTCAATATTTTTGAAATCAAATTGTTGCTTTTTCAATGATTCTTATGAAGAATTATTGTCATTAGGCTTCCACCGTATCATTGATCAACATCCCGAAAACTTAAACTGACGGTATAATAATGCAGGAACAGTGAAACTTAGAATGTTTTCGAAGCATTGGAATCATCTGATTCCCCTTTCCCATTACGTTGAGCTAGAAACAGGAAAATATGTTCCCGATTTTCAGTCAGGCAATATACTTTTCTAGAATTTTCGATTTTATTCAAGTTTCAAAATTAAATCTGGATGTGTGCGATTCAAGTTTTCTAGAAATACTTTTATTTTCTGTTTCAAATATGTAATTTCAAAATCCAATTTTTTTAACCGACTCACTATCAGTGCGAACAGAATTAAATGCCGCTTTCTGTCATTCATGAATGTTCCAAATCCCCGAATTTTGCAAATTCGAATCAGTCTTAGGAACCAAAAAATCTCGCGATAATTCTAATTACTACTTTTGAAAATTCAAAACTTTCATTGTTCTGTACTGAATTGATGTCCTGGAATCGCAAATTTGAATTCCTAAACTTCTAGAAATGTTATTCAAAATTCATATTCCTTCTTCTTCTTTCTCAGCGTCAAGCCAACCCTGAAGAAGGTGTCCAAGACCGAAGGAAAATTCGACAAATTTAAGAAAACATTTTTTTCTGACAATGAAAAATATTATAAATCTGAAAATTTTTGTTTCAATTAGATTTTTGATGATGATAAAACTGTTTTCATATTGGGATACATCACAGGTGATTTTTTAAGGGTGGAAAACAGCCGGAAACAAAGTTCGATTGCATCGGAAAAGTAATGAGAAGATAAATATAACGGGGAAGAAGGAGATGTGATTAAAATATGATAGTAGTTTAGAGAGATGCTCGGAATGGGCTTTTCGTAACTTTTCCGGATTATATCTGTTTCCAAAAAATCGGAATTTTCGGAATCCCGTTCCGAACATCCCTGGTATGAAGAAAGATTTGGATTTGAAAACAAAGAGAATGAAAAAGTACAAAAAATTATAAAATCAAAATTTTAGACATGAAAGAATGGATCATGAAGTTCATTATCGTCCATATCGGGATCCTCCCACTCTGGATCCAGCCCTGCTGGCTCCGGCTCCTCCAGTACTTCAGGAACATCCTCTTCCATCAGCTCTTCTAGTCTCTCTGGGTCCGGCGCGGGCTCCGGTGCTGGGGGCGGAGCCTCTGCTTCCTCTCTGGCTCGTTCCTTCTCGATTCTGACCAACTCCAAATACTCTTCTTTCAGCTCTTTGTACTTTTTCAGCGATAGCACTTGAATGTCCTGGAAAAAGCGACGAACTTGTCCACCGGGAATGTATTTCGGCGATTTTCGACTCTGTTTCTTCCTCCGTCGAACTCTCTTCTTAATAATTCTACCGTCAACCCATCGATCCAAATAAAATGTTCCTTTTGGTTTTCGCTTTCGAAATTTGAATTTTCGATTCTTTTTCAGCTCTCGCTTCCGCTTCTTTTCAGCCTTTTCCAGTTTTATTTTTTGTTTCTCTTTCTTGGTTAATCGTTTTTTCTTGTTGATATAATAGGGAAACGGGGTTTTCTGTGGTTCATCATCTTCGTTTTTCGGGGAGCATGGTGGTGGAGCTCGGCCGCAATTTCGAGTTATAGCTGATTCAGAGGGGAATCCTGCTCGCTGAAAATATGAAAATTGAAAAAAAAATATTTCTGGGTTACGGTAGATTTTTTTTAATTTTCGGGATTACTGACAGGCTTTGAAACGAGCGGAAAAAACTTACTGATATACGGAGTATAGATAAATATGTAGACTCATATAGAAACAATGAAAAAATTCAATAAAAAATTGGCAAAATCTCGAAAAAGATTATTCGCAAAATTCTTAGACCTTTTTAGGTTTTCCAGCTATTTTCAAAGATTCTTTCTCAATTTTTCCGGGTTTTTTTTGTCTTAAATTTGATTTTTTTTGTCTTAAATTTGAACGGTGTTCATTGAAGGTTACTGTAGATTACTGTAGAAATCTAATTTCCTTCTGTAGTGTTTTTTGCAAACACAATCACGCCAAAATTCAGACAGTAATCTTAACGAGAACCGTTCCATCGAATTTCAGACAAAAAACCAAAATTTCAGACAAAAAACCAAAAAAAAAAGGAGAAATCGAGAAAAAATTCTTTGAAAATAGCTAGAAAACATAAAAAGGTCTAAAAATTTTACAAAAAAAATCGAAGGAAAGTCAATTTTTCTCTCTAAAAAATTTCGAAGTTTTCGGCGATTTCAGTTTTGGCGGGAATTCAAAATAAAGATTTGAGAACTTTCAAGAAGTTTCCAGAAAATGACGAATTTTTCGAAATTTTTTTGAATTTTTGCTTCAGTGTTATGTGAATCTACAGGTTTTTCTGCCCAAAAAACCAAATCTTAGTGAAGTTTTCTCACAATTTGCATTTTCTCTCTCCTCCGAATCCTAGCTCTCGGATCGATAATTCCTGCTCTTCGGAGACAAATGTATTCTCGCCGACACAGTTCATCAAATCTCCTTTGCAATTTATACAGCCTCAGGTACATTGGAAACGGTCTCCGCCGTCTTCTCCGCTTCAAATATCGAATTTCTCTGAACATTTTGATCATTTGTAAATCCACGTATGGTCGAGGTCTTGGGAATTCTCGAGGGACAATTGGAACTAGATTTTCAATTTCTTCAGGGAACAAAATATCTGGAATTTGAATTTCATCTTCTGGGTCTTGGTGTGGTCTCTCTTGAATTTGTTCTTCCAATTCTTGTTTCCTCTTCTCTTCCATTCTCTGATGTATAACCGATGGATCATTCACAATGAATTCCTTGATCATCTTCTCCGCGGATTCTTGATCAACAAATCGAACGAAACCAAATGGCTTCGGACGACCTCCAACGTTGATCAACGGCTTCTTCTTAGGAATCCACTTGTGCCACGTCTTCGCCGGAGGATGTCCCGGTTGTCGTTTCCTCGGATGGAACAGCGGGCGAACCCATCTAGTGGTTTTTCTCCCAACAGATAGCTCAGCTACAGTACCATAACACTGTGCTAGACGCAGCAACTGTGCTTCATTGCAGGCTTCTGGGAGTCTATCCACGTAGACAGTGGCTAGATCTCTATTGTAAATAGGCCAGTATTTTACGTAGAGTGGACCATTCGGTTCGTCTTCCTCGATGACGAAGAGAGTGGTGAACTTGGAAAGAGACTTCATGTGATTGTTTTTGAGCAGGTGGGTTCGTTTTACAAAGTTGGAGATTTTCAGAGTACGAAGGACTTGGCGGAGAAGGGATCCTGGAAAAATGGAAATTTGAAGGTGGCGTACGGCGAAAATTTTTAATGCTTTATTTTGTGCAGAAAACTAGTGCAAATCGAAACCCCCCCCCCCCCCCCCTAAAAATCGATTGTAACCGTTTTATATCAATTTAGGACCATTTTCAGTCAATTTTCGACTATTCAAGATGATTTTCGGGCTATTTTTGACGATTTTAAATAGTTTTTGGGCTATTTTAAGCCAATTTTCGTCAATTTTAGACGAATGTTGGACAAATTTTAGGCTAACTGAAGCACGTTTTCAGTCCAATTTTGGGCTATTTTAAGGTATTATCACACAAAATAAGGCATTTCAAAACATCGAAAAATACAAAACAACTTACTAGGCGTTCCCAACGAATCTCTATCCTGGAACAGATGACAAATGAGTGGAATTTTCGGAGCCTCCACAAGCGATCGCTCTATCTGAAATTCCGAATTTTCAGGGCTTTTAAAAAAATTCAGGGATTTCGAATTTGAAAAAAAAAAGAATTTCGATTTTTTTTTCTTTTTTTGAAATCGAAATTTCACCAATTTTTAGCGCTTTTCTGATGAAAAAAAATCCGAAAATTTGGAAAAAATTCTAAAAAACTCAAAAAAATCTTTTAACTCACCACTCTGACAACTTTCTGTCGAATATCGTTGATCCTTGGTCTTCTGCTCCTTAGCTCCAATCTTCTCCGAGCCAAACCAATTTTCATGCGACGCTTCTTGGTTCTATTCTTAACTGAGACAGAATTATTGATGAAAATTCAATTTTTGGGGGGAAACTCACCTCGAAGTTCCCCGATTTTCGTTAGCTTCTTCCTTTTCTGCTTTCCGATGCTTTTCCGAGTTCTAGAAGGTTTTCGAGACTTCGTCCTTGGTAGTCCGGGTTTCTTCTTGGGAGCTTTCTTTTTCGAATTTCCTTTTTTCGAGGTCTTTTTGGGTGTTTTTGAAGCTTTTTCAGAGATTTTCGAGTCCTTTTTAGGGCGTTTTGATGTATCTCGAAGAATTTTCGCTGATTTTGTAGGATTAGAAGCTTCTGGAGTCTCCGCATCCTTCTTCTTCCTCTTTCTTGTTCTTTTTGCTTTTTTCGGCGTCTCCTCGGGCTCCTTGGGAGTCTTTGGCGTCCTTTTCGGAGTCCTGGGTGTCCTTGGAATATTTCTCGAAGAGTTGGGAGTTTTCGGGATCATGGGAGTCCTGGGAGTCCTTGGAGTCTTCGGCTTTTTCGAAGGTTTCGAAGTTTCTCCCTCTTCTTCTCGCCTGGCTCTTTTTGCAGGAGTTTCTTCTACACTTGGACGCCTCTTTCGCTTTCTCTTCTGTCTTCCAGCCATTCTTTAGACTGAAAACCACCAAATTTCAAGCAAAAAAAACGGAATTGCTGATCGCAAATCGCTTCGAAATTGCAACTTTCCCGGTCTCGTCCGCAAACACTGCGCGCTCCGCAACGTGTCGTCGTTTGTGGCGCCACACACGTGTCGATTTACGGAGCTGATAAATACCGGTTTCCTGCTGAAATTTCAGACTATTTCCGGCTTAAAGTGACGTGGAATGTCATTTCGAGGTGGTCATATGCGAGGTGAGTTGATTTTCTATGGATAAATTAAAAGATTTTCTATGAAAAATATAGATTCAGGGCCAAACGAGGACTCGAACTATTTGGAGCGACACAATGACGATTTGGTGAACGGTCTCTCGTCGAAAGTTGCCGCTTTGAAGCGAGTGAGTTCTTAACATAAAATCGACTGTAATTTTTAACTTAAAATTCTTGAGTTTTCAACTTAAAATCGGAAAAAATCCTCTCAAATCGCCAGAACTATGCCTATTGTTTCTAAACCAAATTTCCAGGTAACAATCGCTATCGGAGACGATGTTCGTGAGCAAAATCGCCTTCTCAGCGACATGGACAACGATTTCGACTCATCAAAAGGCCTTCTTCAATCCACAATGCGCCGTTTGGGCATTGTGAGTAAAGCCGGTGGAAAGAACATGCTGTGCTATCTCATTCTCTTCGCCCTTTTCGTCTTTTTTGTTATTTATTGTCTGGCTCGCTAGATTTTCCCTCTTCCAGTGGGGCCTATTTGTACATTTTTGTACTTTCATTTCTTCATTTCCACCTAGAAATTACCCTAACCGCTGTGCTGTGAATAATTTATTTTTCTCTTTTCTCCCACTTGATTTTGCCTGGCATTCTTCATAAAAACGACATTGTATTGTATTGTATTTATTACGTAAAAAATACGTGGAAGAATAAAAAGAAAAAAGAATGAAAAAGAGAACAAATAGACAAAAAGGGACATGGTGTCATAAAATTGATATTTCTTAACCTAGACATGAATAATAGTGGATAATAACAAATCTTTTTCCGAACTTCTGACAGCAGCAGGCTTTTAGATCCGTTTTGTAGAGCTCATCATTTTACTAACTAGGGAAGGTTGTTTGTGGGGTATGGGACTTCGTTATGAGACCTATATCATTCGAAAGCTGAAAATGAGATATTTTCAAAAATGTAATTCGATTTTGCTGCGGACTTATCATATTCGAGAAAATCGAGTTTGAAATTTCATTTTTGAAAAAGCAAAGGGGGGACCCCATGGTGACTTTTTTCCAAAAAATTTTTTTTGTTGAAAAAACATGAAAAACTTACAGGATCATACTGTGTTCTCTGAAACTGTTTGAAATTGTGGTTACATGCTTTTGAAAACTATTTTTGAGTCATTTTTTCAAACCACTTTTTGACTTTTGAGAATAGAAAGTTAATGGTTTACAAAAGATTTTGGATGTTTTTTTTTGATTGTGATCGCAAATTTAGAAGTTTCTGTACAATGTGACCAAGTTTAAGCGTTTTTTTTTCAGAAAAAAATTTTGAAAAAAAGTTCCATGGGGTACCCCCTTGACTTTTTTTTTGAAAATGTTTGAAAATTTTTTTTCGGCCGAAAAGGTATTAAACGAAAAAGAACGAGCAAATTAGGTTTTTTACAAAATTTGATAACCTATTTTCTTCTCGGGATCAAGACATTTTGATTCTTTTTCTGATTTTCAACAAACCGTAGTACTACGATGATCGCCCAGTAACACTCAAAATTTGAGAAATCATAGACACAAATCATGTCTGATTGATGTGTGGCTCTTAAAACGAACCATCCTTATGAACTTTGACAAACAAAAGCTGTGTGAAAGTGTTTAGTGTTGATTAACGAAATAGTCAAAAACTAGACATTACTTATAACATTTAAGAAAGTACAATTTTTCAGTATCAAAATGAAATTTTTTTTTGAAAAATGTGTTCGGAACATTTTGAAGATTTCCACAAAGACCGAAAACAAAAACAAAAACAAACAAAGGAGAGAGGAATCGAACCCAACCCTAGTCAGTTACCGTTCTCCCTCTTCACCGCTACACCACCAGTCGCTGCTTTCAACTAGTTCCACAATGCATATAAGAAAGGGGGGAGATCTGGCCCTCAAAATATTCGAATTTCAGCCAAATTTCAAATTCGATTTTCTTGGATCTGGAATGTCCGCAGCAAAATCTGAATATATATTTGAAAATGCCTCATTCCCAGCTTTCGAATGATATAGGCCTCATATCAAAATCCCATACCCCAGTTACAACCTTCCCTAGTAAGAACCCTATTTGTGAAGAAGTTTTGTTTAAGTTTAGACTTTGGAGTTTTCCATTGGTAGGTGTGGCGGCTGCGCGTTTTTGTCGATCTAATTTTGAAATATGATAAATGATTTATATTAATTTTACCTAGAATGAGTTTGTTGAAGAATTTCTTTATTTAATTCAAAAATTATTAGTTTTAGACCCGATTCGATTTGTATTGAGATTTTGTGAGTTTCGGTAAGATTGGCAACGATTGAAGGATTGGAACAGCACGAAGTAGACGCTGAATGGCTTCTGGGAACGTGTAGGCGTCGGACGAAGAGAGAACTTCGATGGATTCAGATGACGTGGAAGTGGAGACGTCGGATTCGGAAGACACTCGGAGATAGTCCCGGAAGCCACGTTGGGCTCGTGTGGCGCCTAAAAATCTTCGAAAAATTAGCTGCATTTCAACATGATATTATCTGAAAATTCTGACCTGGAACAGTATTGTCTAAAAAAGTTGCTACCATGCCTCCAACCAACATTTTGATATTGAGAAGCATATTCAAGACGTTATCAATTTCAAAATAGCCAGTGTCCACTGGATGTTTCTCGAAATGAAGTGGGACGATCATTCCTAACAGCAACGACAACCCCATTATCGATAAATTCCGGCACAGCTTCAAATCGATCATCTGCAAATTACTCAACGCGACTCCTCCGATCATTGAGATTCCCATCGTCAAGATTCCACCAACAAGAGCGTCGGGAATAGAGGCGAGAATGGCCGCGAATTTCGAGAACAGTCCAAGAAGAATTAATACGAAACCAGCGAATTGCATTGTAGTTCGACTGGCGACTTTTGTGATGTGAATGAGAGCAATATTTTCAGCATAGGTTGTGACTCCACTGCTAACACCACTGACTGCAGCGATAAGACTACCGACTCCTGAAAACAAAGTTTTCTGTTTTACACAGGTTTTTTTCCGGAACGTTTTTTTAAAATTTTTCTTTCGATACCGAATAGCGACTTACTAAATATCAGCCGTTCAGTTTAAGCTTTCGCGTTGAGACAAACGCAAATTTTACTGTAGTATGGTCATTCGTATTGAGCAAGCTTACAAGACGATCCGAAAAAAAAAATTTTTCTGTTCTCGTCGATCTTTCCGGAACGTTTTTTACAATCAATTTTTCTCGCGATTTTTCCTATTGAGAACAGCCACAAAACTGTAAAAACGACAGTTCAAGTAGAAGATTTTGAGACGAACGCCTATTTGTTTATAAATCGAGCACGTTTACACACGCTGTTTTTCTCGGAACGTCTTGTAAATGCGCTCAAACGCGAATAACTGTACATACAGTAAAACTACAGTTAAATTAGCTGCAGTTAAATTAAAGCGAGAGAAAAAAGTTATAGCTACAGTAAATACTACAATAAAATTAGCGTTGTTCTCGAGGCGAAAGCTTCAAACTGAACGGCTGAGTCTTACGGTCCTGTGTCTGCGTTCCATCGGAAAAAAGCGCAGGAAAGAGATATTTTCGGAAACTTTTGGGAAAAAAAAACGTCGTTTCTGTTTCAAGATGCTTACATATTTTCACATTTTAAGTTTCATTCAGTAGGTTAAACTATCTTACCTTCCACAGCAATCGCTCTGTTGATAGCATCCTTTGGTGGTGGTTTTTGTTGACTGGTTCTTGCTAAAAGATCATAACTTCCAATGTTTTCAATGATAGAAGCGAATACAGATGCCACGTAGCCAAAGAAGATTCCTGCGCTGATTTTGGGCATTCCGAATGGTACTGTAATAGAATTTTGACAATAGATCACTCTTGAATAAAAAACCTACATGGCAATGGTATCTGAAACCATGGTGACTCTCTCAGGACCATCATCGTTACGTTGTTATCTGTCCTTGCTGCTCCATTATAAGGTTCCAGGTCGGCTATGGTCATGACAAAGCAAATGAACCAGACCAGAAGCATACTCAGGAGGTACTAAGCAATAATTTTTGGGTTCACAAATAAATTAAAACTTACTGGAAATTGTCCGAACAGCCTAATCCTTGTGGTTACGATTTGCTTCTTTTTGGTACTGTAGTAGAAAATCGGGACCCGAGTGTTCTCCAAATACACTGCCATCAGAACGACAACTAGAAGCATACTGTAGAAGAATACCAAAGAGATGGGGTGGGATTACTGTAGCGGACTTACACTAAAGAAATCCAATGAAGTGAGAGTTTCTCTTCGATGGTTGGAACGATTGAAGTGGTAAGGAGCAGCATTAGAGGGACGATGGTAATGGGGCCGATTAGGTTGGAAAGGTGACCCGCGATACCGGTCATTCCGACGAAAATGAATACAAGACAGGCGAGGAGGAGACTTCCTTGGATCTGGAAAAAATTTCCCATAAAGAAATCAAACAACCAATGATGTCGATGAAAAATGCAAGCTTCCCGAAGACGTGATTGAACTAACTTTGTCATTAAGAACCAATTATCTAGCCTGTGACATTTTAAAATTATTTATTTCTAATTTATGGTTTATTATTCTCCTAGGTATTTTTTTCACTTTAAAAGTAATTTTTTTCACTTCAAAAACAATTCATTTTCTGAATTGTTCAGGGGAAAAAATTAGAGAAAACTGGACAAAAAGTGGGAAAATCGAGAAAATAATTCAGGAAAGTGAAACTGTTTTCAGGTTACGGTAGCTTTCGTTGTGATGACTATCGGTCATGGCCGAATGCAACGAAGAAAATCTCGAATATAAAATATTCCATTTCAATGGTCCTACCTCTCTCATTCGTCCCATCCAAAATTCTTGCGGCACATTATCATGGCCTGTATACGGACAATGATTTTGTGTCTTGTATGCCAACAACGGTGGTAGAAATGCCATTGCTGGACCATGAAGAACTGATAACCTGGAAGATTGGAACCATTTTATTTCGGTTTCTTTAACAAGGGAGGTCTTTTTAGAAAAGCTTTCAGAATTTTTAATTTTTGACAGGGGTTAGTTGACCCGCTCAAAAAGCCCCTGTCAAAATCTGTATATGCCCTTTTTCCAAAAATGCTGAAAATTTTTGTCTGAAAGTTTCGAAATCCTTAACAATTGCAAGCCGCTCTTCCCTCTGTGAAATCGCCTCCTGGCAACCTCCAGAGAACACCGCTCACATCAACCGATTTGCGTTCTGTTGTTTCAAGCGGCGGGGTGGCTGAGTGGTTGTGGGCTCGTGTGGTGAATTTAAAGGTGTGGGGTTCGTCTCCTTCCTTTCTTATTTAATTTTTGCTTTTCAAATATAATTCCCAGACACCTATTTTGGGCTTCAAAATGGCTTTCTGCGCGAATTTTCGAATTTCCCCCGAATCCTCCACTTTGACAGGGAGAAATCATAAATTTTTTTCAAAGTAATGTTTTTCAAAATTTTCAAAGTTTTTGATGGTCAATCCCATACGAAATTTTTGATGAAATTTTTTTCGTTCGAAATTTCTCAATTTTTTCACAGAATGTTATTTTTTAAGTTCATATTCGTTCCTCATGTTTTTCTTACGTGCCTGGGAATTATATTTGAAAAGCAAAAAATAAACACAAAAGGAAGGAGTCGAACCCCAGACCTTCAATTTCACCACACGAGCCCACAACCACTCGGCCACACAGATGATTCGCGCAGTGTCTATAATAGGTGAAATATTGTTCGCGGAAAATCGCCATGGGTACATCGGAACATGCCTGCCGCAGGCCATTTACAGACCAATCGCGAACGCGCCACCGCAAACGACCAATATTCGCCCTATCGCGAGCAAATCTCCTACAATTGGCTTGTCGCGAGAGCAATAATTGGCATATATTATTTCGAATCTGGATGCTAGCAGCTGCTAAAAATTGTTTATTGCACAGAAAAAACAAGAAAAAACGAAAAAACAATTAATTAAAAGTTATATTATTCTCTTCCGCTGTCATCGTATTGGCTGGAACGGCGTGGAAGCTTCTACTTCTGTCAGCGTTTGTCTTTTTCGATGACGGTCCAAGTGGGGGAGGAGAAGACGCTGTAGAATCTCGGTTAGCAAACTGAAATGATTTATCGAAATTTTAAGTTCCCCTAATTTTTGTACTATACCTCTGACAAAAGTTATCGGCTGGAAATTTTCTCGAAATCAGCTAATTTGACACTTCCGACTGAAATCTCAAGTTTTTTCTCAGATTTTTTTTTCAAATCTACCCACCGTTCCAGTTTTTCTTCCTTCCTCTTTTTCAGTCGTTTCTTTTCTGGAGTACTCAGTGGACGTACCAGAAAATTGAGAATTTCCTGGTTCTCTGTAAAATTGGATTTGAAATTCGGACTTTCTGAACACTTCTTACCTTTTGAAAGTACAGTAGCAGTGCTATCTCCTGAATAAACCGAAATTTCGACTTCCAGCTTCCGACATTTGTCTCCTGGCCATTTTTTCAATTTTTCTGCAAATAAAAAGCAAAATACTGTCTGAGACAGTATTCTAGTATGCTCTTGTAGGTTAAATAATAATTGACGGACAAAATTTGCGAAGGAAACTGAAAAAAACGATGAAAAATAACCAAAATAGGTGAAAGAACTTCGAAAACGGAAAAACAAGAATTTTTCGCGACTGGTCAATTGTAGACCTTTTATAGGGTCAGTTAGTAAGATACGCAATGTGCTCGTGAATGTTCAATTGTAGAAGAACTAGTTTGCGGTAGGTGAGTAATTGGGTCGTTTATAGCTCTTCATCTGTAATTGGTCAATCACGAATCACCTGTGGCACCCCGCCGCTGAAAACAACAGAACGCAAATGGGTTGATGTGAGCGGTGTTCCCTGGAGGTTGCCAGGAGGCGATTTCACAGAGGGAAGAGCGGCTTGCAATGGTTAAGGATTTCGAAACTTTCAGACAAAAATTTTCAGCATTTTTGGAAAAAGTGCATATACAGATTTTGACAGGGGCTTTTTGAGCGGGTCAACTAACCCCTGTCCAAAATAATAAAATTCTGAAAGCTTTTCTGAAAAGACCTCCCTTGTAAGAGAAATTAAAAAAGATCGACCGATAAAATTTTTGAAATAATATGGCTAACATTTTACTAGTTGACCAACTTTCGGTATCTATCACAGGAGCAGAGATAAATTGGGTCAAAATTTGATTACCTCTTTCAGATTTTCCATAAATCGCAGTGTTTCAAAAAATTTCAGTATCTATTAGGTTTTTTGGAAAGTTCCTCTCATTTTTCGCGTTAGATACATTCAATGTAAAAAACGTCAAAACGATGTCGGATAAATTGAAGGTAATGACCATTGTTATCAATGACTTTCTGCCAACGCCCCACCAAATTGTGGATGCCGTCCTTCCAAAACTCCGGTGACAGCGAATTGAAAATCAAGTTAACCCATTTTTGATATCCTGTTTTGAGGTAATTTTTTTTTCAATCAAGACTACGTTAGAAAAGAGTGAATAAGTGATAGACAAGAAGTACAAGGTTTGAACTATACGGCGGATTAAACAACATAGTCAACGCACCATATAGACAACATCCCTTTTTTATCACGATTTTCGGGACGCCCGGTGGTTGGGCGCCTTTGTCAACCCTCATGGCTGGTCGCTCATTGTAATCATACATTACCCATTTATCACCACTAGTAATGATTTGATCCCACCATTCATGTGCGCAAAGCAGGATGAGAAGATTCAAACAGGTGTCCACACGTGAAACAAAGTTGCGTTGAGCCAAAAGATGTGGTCCGTATCTTCCCATTTTTCTGACTTTGCCGAGGGTTATCAATCAGTGGTTTTTTGACGAAAGGCTTGCCACTGATGTACTTGATATATCCCGCACAGTTTGAGACGAGTCCCTTTCAATCCCTGTTCTTAATGCATCCAAACCTAAGCCCATTTGGTAGTTGGAAAGAATGAATCTTTTTGTTCACCTATACTGGCGATGGGTTTCAGCAGATTTCCGATCAGATAGAAATAAAAATAGAAGGGCAGTCCAAAAATGTAAATTGTTAGGGACGAAAACGGTGGGCATATCTCACTACACGAAAAGAGGAGAATGATCTCCGTTGGGGTGTAGACACTATTAGACCCCACCAATGTACTGATAAAACGACAGTTTTCTCGCTTTCACCGCGCTCATAAAAAACTAAGTTTGAAAACAGTGGTTCAAAAATGGGAGGAACTTTCCAAACAACCTAATACTTTGTTCTGTTCTCAAAAATTCATAAACATCATACCTTAATCCAAAAGTGGTCTGTAGAATAGTTGCGATCCCGCACGAGACGAATGTCGCAGAGATTAATTGAACGCGTAGCTGAACTGCCGCTGCTCCGGCACATGCACAATTTGAAATGAGAAATGGGTAGACGAGAAGACCGGACATGCAGAGCATGGCTTGCTGAAAAGTTTTTTTTTGTTCAAAAAAATTGGAAAATCTAAATTTTCAGTTTCAGAACAACAAGATACAGTGCGGTCAATATCTATACGACCCCCCCCCCCCCCTAGTTTTTGGGCGCACAGAAAAAACTGGAAGAGTTATCAAAAAACGATAAACGCCATTCGATTCACAATCAAAAATAACCTCCAGAGACAAAGTTTAATAATTTTAGCACTTTCCCCGAACAAGCACCGTCCAAAATACCCATTTGCAAGCGGTCAATGTCTATACCACCTGGAAAAATGAAAAATCTCAAGTATTCTAGAGAGCAAAATTGAACTTTTTTTGGTTGGAAACTGCTAAAATAGTCTTAAAACAGCATATTTTGACAGTTTATACATAAACTTATTCCTCTGTCCAAGTTTCAGAAAAAATTATTTTCAGTCAATTTTGCCATTTTTCAGATTTTTGGAATAAATCTTGAATAACTTACCACTATCTCTCTTTTCCTTCCCCACATTAGGACTAACTCTTGCGGGTTAGTCCTTCTTAGCTTCGTTTTTTACCATTTTCTTTCCCCGGTATTACCATCACTACCACCATCACTCCTTATTTCTTCAAATCCTTCGAATAAACGAAATATATATAAAAAAACTTTGCTTCTAGGTAAGATTTTGAGCTGAACATTAGAGGGAATATTTTAGTACTGATCATGAACATGTTGCGAGTGTTCAAAGCTTTTTTGAGCCTCGGAAACTTGAATCTGAGCTCGAGCTTTGAGCTGAAAAAGTATACCCAACTGAAAATTTTTCAAAGCTGTCTAAAATGTTCTAAGTATTTCAAATTGTCATCAAAATTGCTATTTTGTACAGAATATTGAATTTCAATAGTTCAATCAAGTTTTCTACAAAAATCAGAATCACCGAATTTCAAGATCAGTTTTTCATATGCTGTTTTAGGACTATTTTAGCAGTTTCCAACCAAAAATGTTCAATTTAGCTCTCTAAAATACTTGAGATTTTTCCTTTTCCCGGTTGTCGTATATATATTGACCACTTGCAAATGGGTTTTTAGGACGGTGCATGTTCAGGGAAAGTGCTAAAATTGTGAAATTTTGTGTCTAGAGGTTATTTTTGATTGTGAATCGAATGGCGTTTACCGCTTTTTGATATCATTTCTAGTTTTGTCTGTGCACCCAAAATGTAAGGGGGTCGTATAGATATTGCCCGTACTGTATATTCTAAATTTAAAAGATCATGGCTACCCTCTTAATTTTTAATAATTATTCGATTCCAGCTAATTTCAGAAGGTCCTCATAAATTTAGGACCTCAAATATATAACAAAAATAATATTTTCTGATTCATGAGTTCGTAATTTCCTGTGTTATTTCTTCTTATGATTACCCTCTCATATGTTCACAAATAGTTTCCAATGTTGATTCTCATTTTCGAAAAAAAAAATCCGTTACAGATTTTTTATAATCTTCTTCATTAAAAATGTCATGCATTCCAATGTTTATTTGGTGCAATAAAACGTGAAGTAAAACATTTTAACTAAAGCTCAGATTTGAAGTTGAAATTCGAAAATTTCTCTTGGAACTAGAATTTTTTTATTATTTAGCTTCAAAAGTTTTATATTTCATGAATCTGATGTCAAATGCGAGCTCAATATAGGCATACTAACAATGTGGAGTGAATAACAATATTAATTTTCAAAAAAAAAATACTGATTCAAATTCTCTACAGAAATCCTAGAAATCTTATAGATATTCTTTCCATTGTAGAATTTCAATTTTTATCTTATTCAAATTGTTTACAGTAATCCTAAAGCATGCAACAAAAATAATGTCTCACATATTAGCAACTAACTTGAAAGCCAAACCCAAAATTAGAGTGTTTACGGTAGTTCTGAATGCTTATTCCGATTTTCAAAAGAAATTCTGTTCCAATAATGTTATAATTTTCTTTGTTAAAACCAGCGTGAATTCTCTGATATTGCTCTTTTTACTAACTTTTTACTAACTTAAACTTACAGTAAAAGGATTTTCAAACCTAGGCGCTGAAATTCTAAAATTGGTCTTGAAACTTGGAGAATTAAAAAAAATTTAGTTTTTGAATAAATGCATGTTTCATCGATTTGATTTCAACTACTTACTCATTATAGGCACATATGTTGATGTTTGAATTTTGAAAAAAGTTAAAACAAATTTTTTACAGTAATCCTAGAACATCCAATGAATATTCTTCGCACTGAAAAATTTCAGTTTTTTTTCTGTTTCAAATAGTCTACAGTAAGCCTACAATTTTTAACAAAATACTCCTTTAGCACTCCACTTTTCATATCTAACCTGAAAGCCAAACCCGAAAATCTCCTTGACACTCGGTACATCGTTGACCCCTAGGTGTAGGGGTACTGTCATTCTGAAAAAAAATTTTAAAGAATTTCTAGAATTTTCCAATAAAAAATACCAATTGATAGATGACGTGCAAAATGTCAGAAAAAAAGTCTTGAAAAAAGAAGAAAAAGACACCTCTTGGTGAAGGTGACTAGAACTAGAAATGATTCGCGGGAAATGTGTGAAAAAAAAGAAGAAACAGAAGAAGAAGAAGAAGAAGAAGAAGCAAATTTGTTAAATTCTACAACATTTGTCTTTTTTGCCCCACTATCTATCATCAAGATGATAATGATGATGATGAGGTTGCTATGAACATACGTACAAACGTATGAAATGTACATTTACGAGAAAAATTAGAAAGGAAAATACAATAGTTACACAAATGACGATATCAAATCGGAATTGAAACGAGAGGACAAGAAAAATGGGTTCGAGAGGAAATTAGAAAAATTGAAGGTCAAGGACGACACTCCCACTTTTTACCGAACAACTGATTTACCAGTTTTCATGTGACGAGGCTATTGTTAGCTGATGAGAAAGGAGTGATCACCCATTTTTATGTCGTTTTGTGTTTTTGGTTTAGAACGGTTTAGGTGATAAGGGACATCTGATATGGGTTCTGATTAGATTTTTGTAATTGTTTTGAAACAAAATATCATTAAAAGGCAGGGGTGAGTCTTCAAATTATTTTTGAAGACCAGGAAATTACTAGTTTCTGGATTTTTCAAGTATGGAAAATACGGTTTCAGGATTTGCTTTCGTATTTGTATTCAATATAAAAATGTATGCAAAGTTTCACAGTTTCAGATTAATATGTTTAGGTACAAGATTTCACAATCAGTGATGAATAAATTGTTTTTGAAAAGCGAGAAAGAAATTCCAAAAGTTTTAGTTTCGAAATATTGTTAACGTTTCTGAAAAAATATGAAGCTTATTGTTTCTACGCATTGAGAATTACTACACGATCTGAAAGTTTGTTTCCTTAATTAAAGTCCTCGTGTACTATTAATTGGCTATTGTTGTGTAAAGAAAACAAAGAAAACTGATTGGTAATTTGAAGGTAATTGAGTACTAGACGAGCTTTTTTTTCGTATGATTCATTCAAGAACAATTTGCGCTTACAAAATAATTGAAACTGTTTCTGTTTCCACAAGTTTCAGGTGGATGGAACCTCTCCCATTTTTTGTTCAGAAGAATGAAAAACAATATGCTGGAAAATTGTAACCCCTGAATACGCTTAAAATTTAAATAAAACCAATAGTGATCATTCTACTGAAAATGTGAAAACAAAAAATTCGGTGATTTGAGAACAATTTTTGAATAAGACAGTTTTTATAGGTTGTTCTGTTCTTGCGATAAGGTCAGGGTTCTCATTGAAAAACAAAAAAACCCGAAGAAATTAGTTTCGTTTCAGGTTCTAAAACTCTTGGGGTGGTGTCTGGCGAATCGACAAAGTCGTTTTTTTTTAGTTCGATCTATGGTACATAATAGTTTTTGAAAAACAAATAAAACTATTTAAAGATACTGAAACATTGAAAATACTCCTAAAAATCTAGGTCAAAAATATACGTGCTAGTTGATTGTCGAAGATCATGAACATTAGTTGTATTCCAATTCCAACCCACCGATCCGATAAGGAGTCATTGGTTGGTCAGTGTTGCAGAAATTAAAAAAATACTGCTCAGAGAATACTGCTTATTAGCAATACATTTGTTTCAACAAGAGTTAGTTTTTCTCTCATAATAAAATTCACTAGAATTGGAAAGTTTGAGATCTAGAAAGTAATCAAACTACAGAAGGTTTCTGATGTCTTCCAACTGGAAAGAAATTAGAAAAAAAATAGGGTTTTCGAAATTTTCGCTAATTTAAGTTCCTTGAGGAGATGAACTTGCGGGCGAAATGTTGAAGACACTGCTCCGATACCGGCTACGCAGACTGAGAAAGAGGGTGGATGTAAACGGTATACCATCATGTAAAAATACACACTCATTAGAGGGTTTAGAAAATATCATCATTTTATGAATAGTCTGAAACAGTTCTAACAATAAGTACACAGGCTTGGAAGACTTAAAGAGATCAAATTCGACTTTTGAAAAATAAGGAGTTTTCCCAAAAAAGGATTCCCGGTTTAAAAATGTGATATTCTTGAGCGATAAATTGTCTTGGGAGCCAATATCTTGTGCTGGAAGCCTAAAGGAAGCCTAAAGCCTAAAGAAGCCTAAAGAAGCCTAAGAAAAGCCGTAAGAAATCCAATTTTGACAGAGACTGCCTCAAGGCAGGTACGAATTGATACTGGAGAAATTCCTGTGATTACAAAGACTTAGTGAAACGGAAAAAATACCGATTCTACGGAAAAAATGTTTTCATGGGTTCTGATGTCTTTCAACTTTTGAGACGGTTTTTTGTCACTGACGGAACAATAGACCATTCAGCGAAAACTAATAAAACTTTGACTGAACATTCTGTTGTCCTCTATTCTTTTCAAGTTCAGAAGTTCAAAACTGTTGGAAGAAAACAAGAGAGGGATAGTTCTCAAAATAGATATCTTCTGAAAAACTCAAAAGTTTTATTTACTCAGCGTTTTGCTTATTTTTCACCTAACGGTTTAGCACCTAAATCAACAGAAATGACCATCAAAAACTCTAACGGGGAGTTCTATAAAAACAGATTCTTCCTGAAAGAGAAATCCAAAAGAGAATGATTTTCCTCCTAATTGCTTTCCTATTCCCACTGAACTCCTATTATTGCATCCGACAAATCAACATCTATAATCGATGCCCATTTCCCGTCTGGCCTGGAATTGTTGGACCTGGAAATCCTGCTGGTAAGTGGGAAGAAGATTCTAGAATTATTTGCGGTTTCGAAGTGTTTTGAAAGCTAATAACTCCGAGACGATGACCAGTGGTTAAATAGAAACTTCTTCAAAGAAATAAAACATTTAGGAGGTGGCTTCCGATTGGACAACGAGCAGGATCGGAAGATTTCCGTGGAGGACAGTTGGCAAGGAATCATTTGGGGACGAACATTTTGTGATAGTCGTATGAGATGTGCAACGGGGAATTGTGGGGTGAGGAATTTTGGATGGAAAGAATTAGATTAAAGACAAAAAGAAGTTTTGTTCCGAATTGTTTGCAAATTTTTGATCACATGGGAGTTTTCGGTAGATTTTGATTTGATGGTGTTGGAGTAACTGTAAACTGTAACAAGCATCATTGCGGCAAATATGTTTTAAAAGAAAATAACTATCTAATAGGTTGGTAAAAAGTAATGCGCGTTTGGTGCGAACTACTTCAAACCACAGCTAGTGTAGTTCTTCAAAAGAGACATCAATTCTTTGCTCATACGTTGGCAGAAAGTGGTCGATAATAATGGGGAATGGCCCCTCGATTGATATCATTTTGTTTTGGTTTTGCGAAAGGTTAAAGTACATCAAAAACGCGCATTACTTCTTTACCAACCTAAAATTAATTAGTAAAAATCGTCTTTATTAGTTAATTAGACTAAATGAAACAGGGATTTTCAAAAAAATATTGGTCAAAATTTGAAGTGACAGATTATCTAATTGTAATGGCGTTTTTTGGGGCTTTATAAAACTTTGATGGTAAAAAACTGTGAAACATTTTTGAATTATCATATTGAAATTAGCACAGCTTCATGCTCAAAATGACGCCTAACTCGGGAAACAGATTTTCTTAACCAAAAACAACATTTTGCGAGCTTCTCAGGTTTTACGGATACAACTTTACAGCGGTCCGTAAAATTTCCGAATTACTGAGAAAATCTGTAAATCCGTAATCCGTAAACGTATAATCATACTACAGAACATCACTTATTAGTTAACACTATTTTTTTACCAATTAATAAGGCTAAGTTAATCAGGGATTTTTTCATGGTGGTGAACCAATCTTCCTATCACAAGAAGGGTCCCATAGTGATTACTTTGCACTTATCAATTTTCCTGGGAAAGATAGCAAAAAAGTTCAACAAATCATTTTGGTCGATGATAGAGTGAACATTTCGTTAGCGGATCACTTTTTATATTTCTCACAGGAACCGAGATAAATTGAGCCAAACTCGAATTTATTATCCCATTTCTAGGCAAACAACACAAGTTACGTTTTTCCTGAAACAGTAACCCTTTTTTCTAGAATCGCGAACAATGCAACGGTACTCTAGGTCGCTTCCCATTCACCATTGCCGAATTCAGTTTGGACGAATCGAACGATAAAGATGTGTATTCTGTGTCACTGATCAATGGATATAATATTCCGATATTGATAGAGCCGTTCGGAGGAAAAGGTTAGTCGAGAATAAGAGAAGGTTACTGTTTCTTCAAAAGATAACTGAATTTTCAGACTGCCAACGTGCCGGTGGTTGCATCTCGGATATCAACGAAGTGTGTCCCGAAAGAATGAGAATCACGAATGGAAGAAGAAGAGAGAACGGTAACGTCGTCGGAGCAGATCCCCTTGTGATGCTCTTCGATCTGATCGCGAATGTTGTCGTGGAGCATTCTCGACGCCAGATACGTGCTTCAGAAGCCACGTGGCTCAAACATTCAAGGATGCGTGTCCAACAGCCTTCTCCTTCCAATTCGATGATGCTACATCATCGTTCGCTTGTCAAAATGATGCAGAGTATCTGGTTCAGTTTTGTTGATGACTTTTATCTAGAATGAAGCTTTCTCAAAACTCGAATCTTTGAGAAGAGAATTGAAGATACAGGTTTCAATAAATTTCCCATTTTTTATTAGAACTTCCCCCACTTAGGTTCAAGCCAACGGGTCAAAAAACGCGCCCCAAATAACTTTTAGACCAGAAGAAATTTAATAATTTCAAAGTTGACGTGGATTTGACCTAATTAGTTTTAATCAACGAGTTGCAACGCGTGATTTTTTCGTGCAACGTTTCAAAGTTTGATCCTCAGCCACATAATTCAGCAGCGAATTTTTACTAAAATCTCACGTTTACTGGGGCGCGATTTCTGACCCATTGGCTTGAACCCAAGTGATTCCCTTCTATTGCAGATTTTACTGTATTTGCAATGCTACAAATTTTATAAAAGTTGGAAAAAAATACGTTTTTATTCGACTGTCAAAGAATTTCAGAGAAAAAAGTTAGCAAAATTGAACGACATAATTAGCATTTCTACAAGTGAACGTGGAAGTTGGGTCATCGTAAGCGTAGGAGTATGCTTGTGGACATGCGTCTTTGAACATTCGTGAAGTTTCGCTTGGTTTGCATTTATCCGAAGTACCGAATGCCCCACGACAGCAATCATGATCGGTATTGTATGCCATGCAAGCGGATTTACAGGCTCAGCAGAAAAATTAAATCAGCAGAAAAATTAACCTGAAAAAATCAAATTCCTTGTGTTATATTCAGTTAACAAAAACCATGAGAAAATGAAAAATATGACCTACCGTAAAATCTGTATTAATATTGCGCCTCTATTTGAATTGCCCCTCTAATAGACTTGCACCCCTTGAGGGCACTTGAAAAATAGACTTGCAGCCTTTAATTGAATTGCCGCCGTAATACAATTGCATCTGCAGCAGTATTGCGGCTCCGCCGGGAGTACTGTACAATTTTTAGTATGTGACACCGTGACGAACTATTGCACAGTTGTTTTTCGAATTTCTTTTTTTTAACTACCTACCTAATTTCTGGTTTATTTTTATTTTTCTTCGTTTTTTAACAATATTTTCCATTTATTGAAGCGATCAAAACGAGCAATGAGTTCTGAAGAAGACCTAGAAGACGTGGAAAACGTGTTCGACGTGGAAAAATTGGATGACGTGGAACACGTGGAAGACGTGGATAACGTAGAAGACGTTGAAAAAATTGGTGAAAACTCTAGAAAGAGAAAGCGTGGAGCACACACCTTGGATTACAAGCTTACGGTGGTGAAATGGGCAGAATAAAAAAATAACACGGAAGCAGCACGGAAGCAACGGAAGCAGCTTTTGTTCAATTTGTTACTTTTTTTTTGTTGATTTTCATAATAAAACTGTTTTTTTTCAAAATTTTAACCTCAAATTGTAGTTTGAAAAAGAGAATTGCAGCCTCTATTTGAATTGCCCCTCTAATAAAGTTGCACCCCTTGAGGTGACTTGAACAATAGACTTGCATGCAATATTAATACAGATTTTACGGTAATTTAATTTGTACAACAAAACGAATAAAGTAAATGAGGTATTAGCTTTCGAATAGCACTAAAGGCTTCAAATCAAAATGAAAAGAACAAGCTTGTATTTGATAGCACTTTGGAACCGGTTTCCAGAATAGTAACACATTTATCTGTTTTTTGTATAAATAAACAGTTTTCCATTTAAATATTTTTATACTAAAAAGGCAAGTGCCGAAAATCCAATCAAACAAACAAAAATTCTTAGAAAATGAACAAATCACTCAAAGTTCGACCGGGAACTAAAATTGACAGATCAAAGTTTTCAATTGACCTGGTTTTTTTTCAGCTACAGAGTTAGCGTGTATGAGTCTTTTCGATCTTCTGAAGCTCAAAAATCCACGACGGTTCACTTCTGAAACAATCCAGAAGATTAATTATCAAACAATTAATGGGTTCGAGTCTATTCACAGAAAAGGATATCTCCAACGAGACATTAAGCCAGCGAATCTGCTAGTCTAAAACCCTTCCGGCTCCATACAAAAAGTATACATAAAAATCGCAGATTTCGGATTATGTGCACAGTATCGGAATGACAGAATGAAGATTTTAAAGTGTCAAAGAGAGGAAAGATCAAAACATTTGTATTAAAAAGTAGTAAAACATAAAATTGAAGCCCTATTCTTGATTAGTAGAACAAAAAATTGTTAGACTCATGGTTTGTACTGTATATGGACAGAATTTCAATTTTTTTTTCATTTCCCCCAAATTTCAAGATACAAACAAAACAATTTTCTGTTTCAAAATCTTATCATTCGACAACAAAATATGGACTGAGATTAAAAGGTCTTTACAGAAAAAAATTCTTATTTTCCAGATCATCTATCTATATGCTCAACTTCCCAGAGAGATGCAATGGATGCTTCGGTTTTTTTTTGGAAAATCGGAGAATAAGATTTGAATCAAGGAACATCTACAGTAGACTATACTTCTCTGAAAAACTCTTTATGGAATTTTGAAAGATTCAAATGCTATTGGAGATCAACAAGAAATGCATACAATGCGAATACAAACCGACTGCCAGAAACAGAAAAATTCACTTTTCTAGTTTCTCTTGTTCGAACATCTAGACACAATTTGTGACATTCTAAAAAAGACCAATGGTCAAATGTTCTCATATTATGATCTCCACCATCAATCACAATCATGACCCCTCCCATGAAATACCAACCCACATTTCAATTGTTTTTCGAAAAAAAATCACTTGTCTTAAATTATGAATTTTCTCGTTCTTTCAACTTTTCTATTCTCCTTATTTGAATTAGTCCTTCTTCAAAATTCGGATCGTGAGATTACAATCTACAACAAATGTTCCTTTACAACATGGGTAGGAATTCAAGGACCCGGGAATCCTGGGAACGGAGGATTCAAATTGGATTCAGAATCCAGACAAACGATATTCGTAAATCCCACTTGGACGGGAACGATATGGCCGAGAACTGATTGTGGAGAGGATATGGATTGTGCTACGGGAGGTTGTGGGGTAAGAGAACCTTCATTTGAAATTATTCAGCATTCGGCAAAAAACTACACGAAAACTCGGTGAATGAACAAATCTGGCTGAAACCCTTGTGGAAAGCTGGAGTAAACTAATGAAAACGTATTGTCAAATTTTGGAATTCACATTGTCCACTTTGAAACTTCGGCTGGGATTCAGAAATATGTTTGCTGTCTCCAGTATTCCTCAAAGTTTCAGCCAGATTGGTTCATTCTCCGAGTTTTCGCGGAGTTTTTGCCGGCTGCTATACACTAAAAAGAATCTTAGGACCAGTATCATAACGAATCATAAAAATGCAAAATAAATGTTTTGAAACAGTAAAATTGAATATTCAGCCCCACGAAGAATGCAATGGCGCTTCTGGAACTCCTCCGATGACTGTTGCAGAATTCTCAATGCAAACCGATGGATCCAATGACACCTACAGTGTATCTATGACAAATGGGTTCAATATTCCTGTATTAATTGACCCATATGGACCCTTGAATTGTGAAAGAGCTGGAGGTTGTATAATGAATCCGAATGACGCGTGTCCGATGGAGTTTGCTATTCAAAGAGGTTAGTTTTTTGACGACGAATACCGTAAAACCTGTAATAGTAGACCCCCCGAACACTGATCTGATTTTGAGCTAATTTTTCCCGGTTTCTATCGAATATTGAAAGTTGTCAACTGATAAATTGTTTATCATATTATCAGAAGTGTTCTGTCAGTTGACACATTTTTGAAATCTCGCATAAGAATTGATATAATTGAGCTCAAACTTGACAGTGTGCGGGTTCTTCTATTGATGGTTTTATGGTAATTGCGTATTTTGGAACCATGAAAACCAATTCGATACAGGTTTATGTTGATTTTGAAGCCGTTAACTTTCTAACAAAAACGAGGAATCAAATTTAAAAATATGTGAAACATTTCGTCATGTTTTTGAAACATTCATTCTTCCAAAATTCCAGCCCGTATCACCGTTGGATGCAAGACCGGTTGCCTCGTCTACAACAATAATCGAGAATGCTGTCGTGGAGTTTTTTCCAACCAAGAGGCATGTCGAAGTACGATAGCTTCTCGACTCTTCAAAGCATCATGTCCCAGAGCCATTGCTCATGAATTCGACGATTCGAACACGTTCACTTGTAATGGTGCTTCTTATGTTGTGCAGTTTTGTTAGGTTGTGGAAGTTGAACGTATTGTTTATTGTTTATGTTTTGTAAATAAAGTTTAGAATTCGATATTGAAATTTTTAGATCCTATGGACCGAATTTCTCGGCAAAAATTCGGGGGGGGGGGGGGTACAAGGGGGTACAACTGATTTAGGGGTACAAAATTGGTGATTTGGGGGTACAAGATTCGTGGGTACAAAAATTTGGGGGTACAACGATTCGGGGGTACAATCTACCAATGATTCTGGGGTACAACTTATTTCATTTAGGGGTACAACGTTTGTGATTCGGGGGTACAATCTACCAATGATTCTGGGGTACAACTTATTTCATTTAGGGGTACAACGTTTGTGATTCGGGGGTACAATTTTTTTTTGACGAATCTTCTGAATTCCTGAATTTCAGAGCTTGAAAATCTCAGAATTCGGAATCTGAGAATTTGGGAACTTCAGAATCTGAGAATCTGAGAATTTCCGAATTTCAGAACTTCGAAATCTCAGAATTTCAGAACTTCGAAATCTCAGAATTTCAGAACTTCAAAATCTCAGAATTTCAGAACTTCAGAATTCTTAGAATTTCAGAACTTTGGAATTCCAGAATTCGCAATCTGAGAATTCCGTAACTTCAGAATCTGAGAATCTGAGAATTTCGGATCTTCAGAATCTGAGAATGCTAAAACTTCAAAATCTCAAAACTTCGGAACATCAAAACTTCAGGACTTCAGAATCTCAATATTTCAAGAAGGACAATGGAGAACTGTGAAATGATTTTAACAAATTTTACAAACGGATTTTAATGCCAGTCGATACTTTCCTCACTTCCAATTTTTCTCTATTTTATTTCTTAATTCCTTTTCATTTCCTTTTGTTTCTCAATATTCCTTCGTTTTTTCCCAATTTTCCGTTTTTCCCAATTTTTCTTAATTTTCCTCAATATTCGCGGTAATTTAAATTTTTCTCATTTTTAAATGATTTTCTAGATCATTGATTGAAGGAAACAATCAAAATTCAGATATTTCCCACAAAATTCGAAAATCCCAAAAATTGGCCCAAAATGAGCTATTTTCTATCGAAAATCGTTCGAAGAGGCAATAAAACATTACAAAAACTATAAAATTGATTTTTTTTTCGATAAATTACCACGAAAATTTGAGCAAAAATGATGAAAAACGAAGGAAAACGGAGAAAAATGGGAATCGCGAAAAGATCTCAATTTCGCGAAATTTTCCCATGGAAGAGAAAACCCCGCAGCTCGGCCACGGCCATGGACTGATGACGTCATCGCTCGCAAATTTTATTTTTGGGTTTTTCTCCGTTTTCCTTCGTCTTTCATCATTTTTGCTCACATTTTCGTGGTAATTAGTCGAAAAAAATTAATTTTATAATTTTTGTAACGTTATTATTGCCTGTTCGAACAATTTTCGATAGAAAATAGCTCATTTTGGGCGAATTTTTGGGATTTTCGAATTTTGTGGGAAATAGCTAAATTGTGATTGTTTCCTTCAATCAATGATATAGAAAATTGTTTAAAAAGGAGAAAAATTTAAATTACCGCGAAAATTGAGGAAAATTGAGAAAAATTGGAAAATTGAGAAAAATTGGGAAAAAGACGAAGCAATATTGAGAAACAAAGGGAATTGAAATAGAATTGAAAAAACAAGGAATTGAGAAAAATTGGCATTGAGGAAAGTATCGGCTGGGTTTTGAACTTAAATTAAGCATTAAAAAACTGAGTTTGTAAAATTTATCAAGTTTAACTTATTGTCAAAAAGAACAACGTGACAATGAGAAGAGAAAAATTCCTGCCGTTCGAAATTCTCAGATACCGAAATACTGAAGTTCCAAAGTTCTGAAATTCTGAGATTTTGAAGTTCTGAAATTCTTTGATTTCAAAGTTCTGAAATTCTGAGATTTTGAAGTTCTGAAATTCTTTGATTTCAAAGTTCTGAAATTCTGAGATTCTTAAATTTGGAAATTCTCAGATTCTGAAGTTCCGAAATTCTCAGATTCCGAATTCTGGAATTCTAAGAATTCTGAAGACAATGAAGAAAATTTCTGCCGTAATTATTGAAAATTCAGAAATATTGAGATTCTGAAGTTCTGAAATTTTGAAGTTCCGAAGTTCTGAGATTCTGAGATTTTGAAGTTCTGAAATTCTGAGATTCTCAGATTTTCCGATTCTGAAGTTCCGAAATTCTCAGATACCGAAATACTGAAATTCCAAAGTTCTGAAATTCTAAAAATTCAGAGATTTTCAAGCTCTGAAATTCAGGAATTCAGAAACTTCGTCAAAAAAAATTGTACCCCCGAATCACAAACGTTGTACCCCTAAATGAAATAAGTTGTACCCCAGAATCATTGGTAGATTGTACCCCCGAATTTTTGTACCCACGAATTTTGTACCCCCGAATCACCAATCAGTGAACGTACAAAAATTAAAAGCAGAATAAAAATATTCTCATGTTACGGTAGTTTTTATACAATGACCAGGACCACCATCGTTTCCCTCCACCGCTCCGATTAATAATATATTCTCAAAGACAATCTTTTGAAATAACATGTTTCAGATATGTTTATCATTTGCTTGATTATAATATTTTCAATAGGTTTAAGACTTGTGATGCTGGTTCGCGACGAGATTTTCTGAAAAGTTATCTCTTGAAATAACATGTTTCAGATAAGTATCATTACTCAACTAGAATAAGAATACAAATAACTATTTTCCGAGTTCTCATCCCTGGTACCACCGAATTAACTTCACTTGTGTCTAGTTCGATTGCGATGAACATTACACTACACTTTTTCTAAAGAGAAAAAAGTCAAAACCTGATTCTGTTATCATTTGAGAGATAACATATCTTCTTGATTTTTAGACTTATTATCTATCAATTCGAATGTGAGAACAGAGGTCACGTCCTAGACTGAAAAACGTACTAGACCGGTCACGTTCTAGACCAGAGTCAACTTTGAACTCAATTATCTCGGTCCCTGTAAGAAGTATAAAAAATTTGTCAACTGATAAGATATTCATCATGATATCACCGATATTTTATCCGTTGACAAAATTTTGATGTTTTTCCTAGGAACTGAGATAATTGAGCTCAAAGTTGGGTGGGATTCTAATACGGTAGGAATTTCAGACATCAAATTTTTGATCTCAACAAAAAACCAGCCTACGTAAGCTTTTGTCATATTTGTTTTCTCGTAGGTGTTTGTTGTTCTTCGTCACTCTTGTACTATTATAAAACAGTTGCGTGGGTCAGTGTTAACACAGTTCAACATGTCATTCTATCTTCTTCTCCTTCTCCTTCTCCCATTGTCCATTCAGACAAGAGAAATCAAAATCTACAACAAGTGTCCGTTCACAGTATGGCCTGGAATTCTGGGACCCGGAAATCCAGCTGGTGGAGGATTTCGTTTGAATTCTCAAGAAACTAGAAGCATTTATGTGGATGATGCATGGACAGCAGCCAGAATTTGGCCAAGAACCCATTGTGATGGAAATATGAATTGTGCTACTGGAAGTTGTGGGGTATGGACCCATACTATTTATTTATCTTAAAGTTAAAATTTTCAGCCTCGCGAGCAGTGCAATGGAGCTGGCGGTGAGCCACCAGCGACTCTTGCGGAATTCACACTTCGGGGAGATGCTGGAAAAGATTTCTACGATGTCTCACTGGTAGATGGTTATAATATTCCAGTGCTAATCGATGTGATTGGTGGAGAAGGAGATTGTAAAAGAGCCGGAGGATGTTTCAAAGATATTAACGAGTTTTGTCCGGGAGATTTGGCTATCAAGAAAGGTACCGTAAGAACTCAAATAGAAAGCAACCCTAATCTTGTTGGAGCTCGATTATCTCAGTTTCCATGAGAGGTATCAAACATGTGTCAACTAATAAAATCTTGGTGACATCATGATAAACATTTTATCAGTTGACAGATTTTTGATATCTCTCATAGAAATTTAGATAATTAAGCTTAAAAAGCAAGAATGCGGCGACCTTCTATTAGATTGTTTCCGACATATTCGGCGAAAAACTCAAAAAATGATATTTATGATTTTTCAGACGGCAGAACTATTGCTTGTAAATCTGGCTGTTTGGCATACAATAATGATCAGGAATGCTGTCGAGGAGAATTCGGAACCCCAGATAGATGCAGACAAAGCAAAACTGCACGAATATTCAAAGACGCCTGCCCAACAGCATACTCATATGCCTACGATGACGGAACTTCGACGTTCACTTGTAAAAATGCTAATTACGTCGTTCAATTCTGCTAATTTTTCCTTTTTTTCTTGAAAAATTTTCCTCGAAAAATATAATAACTACAGTAATCTTAAAGGCGCAACATGCTATTTCGTGAATGGGTTTCGGCACGGAGTAGTTTTGTAATACTTTTTCGCCGATTTTCAATTATTTTTTATTTTATTTTTGCGATAAACACACGATGAATCGGCGGAAAGCAGGCGCCCCGCCGAATTTTTTGGTAAATTTCTAGCAAATAAAAAATGTTTCGAAGCAAAAAACGAATTTCAGACGAGAACGAGTCTGGAAACGCTTCTCACCAACAGCGAGTCGCCGTCGTTTGTCGTCTTTCGCAAAACTTCAGAATGTATTTTTAAAACCTAAAACTTCGAGAAAAAAGTAAAAGTGGTTTCCAGCAACTAGATATGAGCAGCCAGAGCAAGATCTCACTGGTTTGATCATACGCGACGGGCAGAAACGACAAAAGGTTGGGAAAATTGGAAAAAATTCAATTTCGCCAAATTTTCAGCCAATTTCTCCAATTGCACCGGCAAGTCCGACGTATCCAGCAGCGAAAAGAGTTAAAAACGAAACTGTTTTCAATGATTTTCACAGCCACATCAAGTTAAACGAAACGCGATTGAAAGCGGTGGCAGGAGCGAATGTTGATATTTATGAAGTCAGAATTTGTTACAAAAATCGATAAAAATTAGAAATCAAAGAATTTTTGTTTTACAATTTCAGATGTACGCTGGTCTTTGCAAATCGGTCGTTCCGATTCCAGTTCCACACAGTCTTCTCCAGCCGCCCGACAATGACACATCGACCGAATCAGTGACAAACAACACAGTTTGCAGGTTCTTTCTCTCTATATTCCTGCAAAATTTTGTTTAAAAAGAATAATTTCAGCATTGAAGATCGAAAACGGGCGCTGTTGCAAGTCTTTTCCCGCCGATTCAAGCTCAACATCTCCGACGAAACGTTGCATTTAGGAGCGGCGCTGCTAGACAAATGCCTAGATTTGATGGCAGTTGATAAGGAGAAATTAGAGGAATTAGCAGCAGTGACGTTGATTGTGGCGAGCAAAATTGAAGACGTCGCGTGTCTGACAATCGGAAATGTCATTGAGTTCGAATTAGTGAAGAATCGGTCGATTGCGATGGTATTCATTGAAATAAAAATCAATAAAAAATCGATTTTTCCAGATAGCCTCTCTTGAAAGATTCGTTCTCGCCTCCCTCGCTTTCAACGTCACCATTCCCACTCCATTCAATTTCGCCACCTACTTGCTCCTTCATCTTCACGCTTCTCAAACAACCATCTACTCGACATATGTAGCCATCTCACATAAATTTTACAATTTTTCAAATTTTTAAACTTCAGTACTTCCTCGAACTCTCCCTCCTCTACGTCCACAACCGTTGCTTCTCGTCGGACGTTGTCGCCTACTCTGCCACGTGTCTTGCAGTCTGCATGGAAGCTAACGTAACGTTCGCGAATCGTTTTTAAGACTTCGAAAGCAAAAATTTGGTCAATTTTCAGACTGGAACAAGTGAAGCCAGGGTTTTACGAGATACTGAACTAAAATTGCGAATTTTCGCTGACAAGGACTATCACACAAAGAGAGAGCAGAGTCGAGAAATCATGCGGACTCTTTCCGATCTTTTTCTTGTGGTGAGCTAGCTGAAAATCGGCGAAGACCAAGTTTGTGCATTTGCGCGTCTACGCGCGAGAGTGTTTGCGTACGCAGCATTTTATATTACGACAAACTTCAATAAATGCGCCGTGCGTCGTAAAATCAAAACCGCACATTTTTCAGGCATCCGATGAGAAACACGCCATTTTTCGAGAATACTCGTCATCCCGCCGTGACTACGTGGCGATGCGGCGACTCGCTCCAGATCTACTGGAAACGCTACGTGTCAACTCCCCTTCATTGATCTCATGATTTAAGAGCCATAATTCGATAAATGTAATAGCCTATACTGCATCCATGCTCCGTGTACAATATCATTTTCCATATAATTTCTTGTTTTATCATAACGGATTTCAATGAATTTTATTTAAATATGTCCACTTTATTAAAACATTTTAGTTATTTTGATGTATTTTTAAGCTTTGTTCATTCTTTTCTTCGCAGTTTTTCTCGTAGTGACTTCATTGACTGATTCCCAACTCAATCAGATCATTGATCTCGCTGATTTCCGGATTATTATTCACCAAATCCGTCGCTTTTTCCAACCCGAACATTGGCTGAAGAGCATCAATTAAAGCACTTCGGAATGCTGTGATTCTCCGTTCCGCACCACTCAATGCTCTATCGATTTTCTTTCCATCGCCGACACGATAAATAGAATGCTTATGTCCGATTTTCGTTGACTTCACCACATTCTCCAATGCGATCGGTGGTGGAGGTGCGACGTAATCGGGAAGAAACGGATCATTATAGTGATAAGGACTCTGATAGACACGTGTCATCGACGTGGAATGCTTCTGAATGTTGTTACGTTGAGAGGTGTTGGAGGAGATGTTGAGCTCTCGAGCGCGATTGCACAAATCAATCATTGAGTCTGGAAGTAGTCGAATTTCGGGGGGAAAATGGAGAAAATTCGCGAACTTTTTCCAATAATTCTAGCCAATTTGCTCATGATAATGACTTGATCGGTTGCAAGTAACTGGAAACCGATGCTTTTCGAATTATCCTCGTTTCGCCGAACTTCATCTGGCTGAAAAAGTATCCATTTTGCAGAGAGAAGATTCAGCACCCAGACATAAAATGTTGGAAACTATTTCGAGCAAAATAGTCGGATTTCAGAAGATGTCAAGCAAAAACACATAGACGTTTTATTGTTTGAACATAATAATTTCATCGTCTTTTAAGCCAAAAATTCTTTAATGGGGTTATTCATGTAGCGAAACTCTGTATTGATTTTTTCAATCCTCTACAAAGCTTAATGGCATTTACAGCTATGTCGCGAAATGCTTTGAAATACATTTCGCGACACTCCTGCATTGAATTTTGAGGGCGCCGAAATGCATTTCAATACAGAGTTTCGCTACATGAATAACCCCATAAAAAATCAATTCTTTCTGTTTCATTAAAGTCATGTGTATCGTTATTACGATTAATTTTTGTTAGTTTGAAAGGTTCTTTTGTTAGCTTCAACGCTTATTATTGTTGAATTTAAAAAAGTGGGACCTGAGAATTTGAAAGGCGTAGATTTTTTGATCTACGAAAAAGTGCAGCAAAAACGTAATATTTCAGAGTTTCGCCTCGTTCGAGCTACTTCCGCAATCAAGTTCGGTTTTTCGATGAAAAAAGATTATAGAGATGCTAACGATCATTTTCATACCAAGAAATCTAAATTTTGTTCAGAAAATCCCACTAAATTCACAGAAATAAGTATCGTTTACTACCGTAGTGTTTTTGGGGCAAGGCCTCGAAAATTTACCAGGAAGCCGCCGGCGAAATTTTCCAGGTCTCACTTTCTTTAATTCGACAATAGTTTGGTGCAGAAGAATTGGAGCTATGGAAAATAAACGCGAGTGGCCGTGGCTGAAAAGTCCTACAACGACAACAACTGTAATCTCAACTTTTTTATTATGTTGTTTTTAACTGTTTTTCGATGAGTTTTTCCAAATGAAGTCGGAAAAAAGAAGTGTTCAGTGAAAAAATTTACAGGAAATCGAGACAGTAAATGCAGAAAATTAATATATTCTAGGTTACGGTAGTTGACGTTGTGGGACCTTCGGCCACCGGAGTTTCTCGTCTACAGTTCCGCTTTCTTGTACCAGAGATATAAATAAAAAATCAAGATTTTTTCCCTGTTTCATCAGTATCATGTTGATGGGTGATGGGTTTAACTATCGCTCTAGGTTTTACTACTACAACTTTCTTAATAAAATTCTCAATAGAGCGCACCTCCTATTTCATTATTTTCAAAAAATAAGCTTACTGCCAAAACCAATCGCACACAATCGCCAACTCTCAACTCATGATCCGGTGTGAACGTGGGACTGATCAACGAATTCGTGACGCGATCTATCAATTCAGTGTATTTCTGCCCGAGAAGTGCGTACTTCTTACGACTTCCAACAATGCACCCATCATTATCTTCGGCCCACGTGGCAATCGTTTTCGAGAGGAGTACGGTAGACGATGGGTGTTGAGAGTCTGGGAAATCAGTTGGTGTTGTAACTCAACAACTAGAAAGCTAGCATACTGGACTCATCGAAAACTATGAGTTCTAATTTTGCCAGAAGACTCAATTCATGAGGATCCGAGCATTTTTGAGCGAAATCGCGAAGATTGGTTGGCAGGAAGACGGTGGCCTAGAAAAGGAGAAGTACTGAAGTTACCAATAAACCAAACTAAGTAGCCTGGCAGATAAATAAGGTAATTAAAACGGGGATAAATTTTACAAAATTTTTGAGAAGACAACTTACCGAATGACCCCTAGAAATGAAGTACCAAAGTGTCATACTGATGGCTCTCATGTTGAAAATCGACTTGTCCATTGGGAAAAGTTCCATATCTTTTCGGATTATTAGGTTTAATCTGAAAAGAAATTCGAGAGTTTAGATGTCCAGAAATGCTTAGAAGCCTTTAATAGAATGTCCCCACACTGTCAAGTTTGAGCTTATATATCTCGATTCCTATAAGAGATATTGAAAATCTGTCAACTGATGAAATGTTGGTGATATTATAACGCTAACTTTGTCAATTGACCATTTTTTGATATCTCTCATAGTAATCGAGATAATTGAGCTCAAAGCTAAGGAGACCTTCTGTAATACTTCCAGGATCATTTTTTCGGAATAAATTATGTTTCAAAATGTTTACTTTTTTCGGATCTTTTAAAAGTTCTCGTTCTCAGACATATGCATTTTTCACCTACTTATTAGAAACATCAGTGCCATCGATACAAATTGGTCTCAAATAATCCGTATTCTCTCTTCTTTTCATCGTATTCGTCTTCTCATCATACAGTAGTGAGAATCGAGCTTTGGATTCTTCCTGAATCAAAGAAATGACCTTTTTAAAAATACAGTTCTGAGAATCTGAACCTCAGATAAGTTATCCAAATTCAGATGAATGCGAAACGGTTCGTCATCGAGATCGTCCGGCTGGAAGTCCATTTGGTGCACTGGAAGATCGGTGGGGTACTGTAGGATTCTCTAAACGCGGAAAACGTGGAGCATTTGAAATTGTTACGTGGAGGGAAAATGATGACATAAAGGTTCACGTTATTCTAGGAAAAAAGATTCCGGGGTCTAGATAGTAAAATTGAATTTTGAAGTTTTCTGTTCCAGATTTATGACAATAACTATCTTATCGAGTTGATTATGTTATATGACATTTTCTGATAACGATGAACTATAGGATCTAAGAATAAAAACATAGATTTTTTAAATTTCTTGGCCATAATCATATCCGAGAACCCGAATAAAAATTTTATGTTTCACAATCACGATGAATTGGATTTTAACAAGATTCAAAAGTTAGACACGACGAAGAAAGTCCAATAATCGAAAAAGGATTTTTCATGATTCCAAGATTCGGGAAACTTTTACATTCCACCAAATTGCTGATTTCATAATAAAACATGAAATCTATAGTTTGCTCTGTCCCTCTCTCTCCAACAAAAATTTAATATCATTTTTATATTCTGTCTCCCAGATGAAAGTAGTCAGAGAGAAAGCCAATTTTATGACTTTTTACTCAAGAAAACGAAATGGGAAGAAAATTAAAGTGCAGTCAGGTACCTATACAGAATATCAATCAGCAGAACTTTCTGGCTCCATTTTTATTACCTTTTCGCTCTCCTTTTCCCCCAAAAAGTTTTACTCTATTTTTTTTTCTTTCTTACTTCTTATGACTATAGAAATATAGAAGATGTAAGCAATATTTCAAATTTCTAATCCTTTTGATATATTATGTACATCTTTTGTTTCTGTTTTCCTTTCCCTTGAAACATGTTCCAAATGGAGGAGAGGTATGGGTGGGGATTAAGAAGCTTTAGTTTCTTTTTGGGTGTATGTTTTAGAAGATGTACTCGCAAAAAATGATGAAGTACTACTTTTTTGACCGACTTTTTTGCCTTGGCGGGTATTTTTTGAAGAGATGATTGATTAGTGTTCATGAATCGGGAAAATATTCCGTTCCAGAAAGTTATTATGTAGTTGAATGCTTTTATGCCATAGTGAGTCACACAGTTTTATTTTGAACAGAAAATCAAAAAATGTAAAAAAATTTCAGCACAGGTTTTTGAAAAGTTCCAGTAAGCCAGCTAGCAGGTTATTACCCAAGCTAGCCTTTTTTTAAAATTAGGACAGATTTGCCATGGTAAACTCATTTTTGAACATTTTTCTATCTTGGATTCCAGGACCCCTGGATTCCAGGACCCCCGGATCTCAGATCCCCCAGGTCACAGGACCCAGGTCACCCGGACTCAGGACACCCGGATCCTGGAATTTCCTGGAATTTTCGCTTTTTTCGAAATGTTTTTTTTCATCACGTTTAAATAATTGTTAAAATTTCACTTTTGAAATCGATCGATTTCCTCAAAAAGATCCTCCCTTTGACCCTAATTATCTCGTTTCCTGTTTGAGTTATCAAATATTTGTAAACTAATGAAATGTTGCTACTTTCAAGCCAATCATTTTTGCTTTTTAAATTTTTTTGATATCATTTACAAGAACCAAAGCCAATTTAAAGAAAATGCTGAAGAGCTTTCTGAACGACATTTCCTTGTTAGACTCAATAAAACCAATTCTGGCTTTCCATCTTATTTAAGAATTCAAATTTTTACCGTTTCATGCAAGCGTTATGAACGTTCAAGTTTTGATTAAAATGTTGGGAAACCCATAAAATTTCCGTAAAACCTTGAATATAAGGGCTCCTACACTATCAAGCTTGAGCTAATTTTTCTATGCTCCTATGCATTCGATCAAAAATGGGTCAGTTGATGAATTGTTTGTTATGAAATCACAAACATTTTACCGTCTTTGATATCTTGCATAGGTGCCATGAAAAGCTAGCTGAAACTTGATAGTGTGAGAGCGCTTCTATTACAGGTTTTACGGTTTTTATTTTAACTCATTTGTAGTTTGTTTCGAATTCCAACCTCTTTCTCACTTTTGCAATTTCTCATTCTGTCTATAAGCAAAAAAAACACAATGGAAAAAACTTTATTTTTTCAAAAAAAAAAGAAGTAGCTAATCTCTTTTTGCCTCTGAACAGCCATTCTTTTTCAATTTTCTTCTTCTTCTTCTGTTCTCTCGACATCATTATTTGTGTACTTTTTGTGCGAGAGAAGACATATAAATTATTTAGAAAATGTGGGCGAAGAGCAACTTGAGCAATAGTCCTTTTGAAGAAGAATAGTTATTCGTCATTTTGTAACTTTTTGAAAATCCTGTTTTTTTTTCGTTTTTTGAAAGATCAGTTTGAAATTTTTGTTTTACGAGAATCCCATTCGGAGCCTGGTTAGTGAAAACATAGAAACTTAGTTGAAAAAGTGAAACGGGAAAGTTTTTTCCCAATTTTGTTTGCAAAAGGACAATTTTGGCTCAGTTTTCCCCAAAATTCTGATTTCCAGAATCGGGCGAAAGATACGAACATTGAATATTATGAAATATGTTTTAACCTAGATCAAGCCAACATTGAACTTACGAGCAGTCATATGATATTTCTGAAACACAAAAATCTGGAAAATTTACATTTTTCCGTTTCAAAATTTTCATAATTTTGGAGCTTTCGTACTCAAACTCGCTAATTTTATTTCAGCATAAACATCACATTTTTCAGTTTTTTGCCATATTTGGAACATTTCGTACTCACTATAGTTTTTTTCCAAGCTACCCCGCCATCAATTATAAATTTCATCCAACACCCATCATGTTTTTGTTTTTTTTTCTTGGAAATTTTGCTTTTCGGAGTTTTCTTTTCCAGCAAAAACTACAAATGCTTCTTCTTTTTTTAGAAAAAAAAATCCAAATACAGTTCCTGTTTACCTGTTCTTCAATCCATATTCTCACTTACTTCTTCTCCTTTTCCTCTCCTTCAATTCCTTCCATTTCTCCCCTTTTTGTTCTCCTCACCCCTATTTTTCTTATTTTTTGGTCTCTCAGAGAGCTCTAAAAAAGCCCTCCTTGGATTCGAGAGAAGAGGATTAATGACCTCTTTCCTCTTCCAATTCGTACTACCTATTCCATCATTTTTTTTCGAAAATTTTTAGTTGGAAAATAAGATGAGATGGTGACAGGTTTTTGGGATGAATCGAGAAAATTCTGAAAAATAGCTTCTCATTTTTCTTTAATTCTGGGGATTTGGAGGGGGAATAGGTGGAAGTGATGAATGTAGGGACACTTTAGTAGCCGGGTGGGTCCGATTTGTTTTCTCGATTTTTATGGGTCTGTTTTCATGGTTTTTATGGGTTTATGGGTTTTTATAGATCATTTTTGTTCATGATTCAGAGGAGTTTAGATTAGAATACAGTTTCAGAACTATGACAAATAAAATAGTCAAGACCGCAAATGCGATTGGCTGTTCAAAATTCATATGAATAGGAAAAATGAAATTGTAGAGAAAAAGTCTAATAGTTTTGAGAAAATTTCTAGTTACTTGGGTCTCAAAATTTTGGAAACAGAAAACAATTAAATAAAGGGTTCCTACCAGAACTAAAATATCATTTTCCAATGAAAACTTCTAATGTATTGAATAGAATATACCCAATGTTGTAAACTCAATCAAAGGTTCGAAAACAGATTCTCTGAAACTGCATTTTTTTCGTCTTGAGCATACATTCCATTCGTTTCAAAATTCACTTTCCACCAGTCCGTTCATGTTTGACCTCAAAAAATTTCAAACAACGAGCATTTTGAGGTTCTCATTTTTCTCATTTTTTTAAATTTCGTGATTTCGAGGGGGATAGGGTGGAAATGATGAATGTAGTGACACTTTAGTTGCCGGGTGGGTCAGATTTGTTGTCTTGAATTCTCTGCGTCTCTTCGGGTTATTTTTGCTCTTTATTTCGGTGACTTTAGAATACAATTTCAGAATTATGGCAAGAAAAGTAGCAAATAATTGTTTTAATTGCGCACTGTTGTTCTCTTATAGACTTGTTGAGTAAATAGTAAAAATGAAAATGTAGAGACAAAAATGTAATACTTTGAGAATACTTCTAAAAAAGGTTTTTTTGGATCTCAAAACTTTGGAAACAGAAAACAACTAGGACTTTTGCAAATGAAGAGTTTTCATTAGAGCTTAGAATACCATTTTTCGATGGAAACTTCTAATATTCTGGATAAGTATTACTCAATGCTGTAAACTCTGTCAATGGTTCAAAAACAGATTTTCTGAAACTGCGAATTGCACTTTTTTCGTGTTAAGCATTAACTTATACATTTTTATTCAAGTTCACATCAGTCATTCCGTTCATTTTGACTTTTATTTTAAACATAGCCCAGCTTGGTTTTACAACCAGACTTGTAATGGAAGGCCACCAACCCACTAAAACTTTTGTCATGGTATTGGATTCATTTGGTCACTTATCTCGATATCTCTAACAGTTGACGCGATAAATTTGATTAAAATTTCATACTTCTATCAACTTTAAGCTTCATAATTTGTCACTTCTGTTTGCTTGAAAAACAGTAACTCCTAATCAGTACCGGTTTCGATTTTGAGTTATTTTTTGTCAGAAAAATGAAAAAAATACAGATTTTTAACATCCAAAAGCAGCACAATATATTTTTCAAAGGAATTGACTGTAAAGCTATATTTTGTAGGTGAACTCTTTTTTATATTTAAAAAAATTTCAATTAGGCTCGAGACGGACATAATCTACCTTTTCATGAGTAGTCTTTACTAAGGTTTCGTTTCAAATTTTTCATTTATGAAATCACGTGAAATTTGACACTTTTGATTAATCAAATGGCTCAAAAGTAATTTTTTCTCACGGAAAATAATCATCAAAATAGTCAAACGTTTCAAAATCAAAAAAAAGTGAATCGTCAAAATAGTCGAACGTGGCAAATGAAAAATAGTGGAAATCATATTTCGTCAAAAGTGTTAAATGCTTTAAGAAGAGTCGGAAGTGTCGGATAACTTCGAAAGTTACGAAAAATAATCAGTA